ATCATGTTTTTTAAAGTCCCAAACCAGCGCAAGATTTGGTTTTGCATATGCATTACTGGTTGTTTTTGTCTCAGTGGGTAATTATTCTTGCAGTATTCATTTAACTGCTTCATACTTGGAGTTACACAGTCCTGGTGCACAGAACACAGTTGGCAGAAGGGCTACAGCAGCAAGCATGAGGGGTTAATTGACTTTTATTGAAGCAGTTTATAGCTTGCTCTTGTCTTCATCCTTAAGCACTGCTGATCCACTGTAAACTGAGATCTACTGGGACAATATTTTTAAAGATGTTTAGTTTTCCACTAAACTATATTTTATTTGTGTTGTTTCATTTTCTTCCCCTAAGATATCTAACAATAAAAAAGGATAAGGTCATTGTTACTGAGTCTCTTTTTCTTAAGGTGAACCTATTAAATTCTCCTGCACATTAAAGGACAGATGTTGCCTTTTTTTTTTTTTTTTCAGAGGAATTTACATACACTTCAGTTTGTGGAACAGAAATTACAGTAATTCAGTAGGTAGCTACATTTGTTTAGCTTACATAAAGTGCTGTAAAGAGATCTAAAGGGAGAAGTATTATCCTTTTAAATGATTTTTAAAATATCAAATTTTATTTCAGTTTATTCTAATGGTTTGCTACCAGTAGTGTTTTACTGTTTTCACTGTTCAGTGTGCTTGAGCTTTACAAAAGATTTAAATGAAAGTTTTATGTAATACACTTCTTTAGAATTCAGAAGACTTTGTGGATTATTATTCATAGCATCTGCTACTTACAGAGAAAAAAACCCTTAAAATGCTCCTTTAATATTTATTTAATGCATATGATACAATTTTATATTAAATAAGATTTGTTTTATTTTAGCAGTTATGTTTGTGGGAAAGATCTGTTTGCTCCATAAACCCTTAGGTCTGAGGTTTATAGCTTGGCTACTACAACTTTGACTGAAAGGAAACTTGATATTTCTCAGCATATAACATATATGTCTTTGGAAAAAGATGTAAGACTGGAAAAAGAATGAAAAATAGATATTTCAGTATTAATGAGTGTTTACTGGTAACTAAAATGGATTAAGTAGACATAGATGCTTTCTGTTTTCCTGCTGTATAAAAATGATTTTCATAAAATCAAAAAATAATTTTCATAAAATCATTTTCTTAAGGAAGAAAGCTTTGCCAGAATTTGAGAATTTAGCCACAAGAGAGATCTTGGAAGGTATTCTAAAGGCAGATAATTCAAGCTTAAGTCCTTTTTTATTTTTGACTGCAGGAAACCCCCATTGTTCGATTTTGTGCTTGACATTGAACTGGGCAGGTGTGTCCACATAAGGTGCAACAGGGAGGATTTGCATGCTGGCTTGCTGAAGTGACAGAATTGTGCAAAATAACTGCAGTGGTCTGGCAAGCTTCAGGAAGCAGGTGGATCTGAGGTACCTGTCTCCAAAATTACAATGCTAAAAATGCCTGCTTGCTGCTGCCTAACCCAGGAGGCAGCTACATATTTTTTCCCCACATTATTATTCACCGGGCTCCCCTCATGGCATGCCTAGAATTGCCCCACTGTTGATGGATCTGGGTGGTATAGCCAATAACTGGGCAAATTTGGGACCCAGAAATTCTGTCTGTGTATATGTGATTACAGTCTATGATGAATAGGAAAATTTGTGTACGCATATTGGGTGGTATAAAATTACACACAAGAGAAGGTGTTGATACTAATTCTTACTGAATACATATAACAAATGAACAGTAGTTCATTTTAGGAGGTTTAGAAGGTCCTGGTTATGTCAAATGTCTTCATCAGTGATCTGGATGATGAGGGCAAACGCACAGTTGGCCAAATTGCAGATACTTAATTAGGGCGGGGCATGACAAAACCTTTCTGCTTTGTGCAAAAGGATCTGGAAAAACTTTGACCTGGTAAAGACAAACAAAGTGAAGCACAAAGTTTCTTACAGGCATGGAAAAACCCTGTGCCTTGGTGCAGATCAGGATCCCGTTGGCCAAGAGACACATGACCCTGCTGGAAAGCACTTGGAGTTACAGGGGATGCAAGACGGAACCTGAGCTGCCAGTGCCCCTTAGCACAAATAAGGAAGTCACAGCTGGGCTACATTATATATGTCTGCTCCTTTCTGGTGAGGCTGCACCTCAAACACTGCCTCTAGTTTCAGGCTCTCCAGATCAACAGGGAAGTAGACAAACTGCAGTGGATCCATAAAAGTGTCGTCCAGATCATTAGGGACATAAAGCAACACCCCTGAGACTGAGGGCTCTGCACTTGTTTAATGTGGCAAAGATGCCAATAGCAGCCTACAGACACTTGAAGAGGAATTGCCAAGGTGGTGCAGGTAATTTCTTCTTGATAGATTACATAAAAAGGGGCAATTGCCATGAATTTTGGCATGGGAGGTTTGAATGAAGCATTCCTATCATGCATGTGTGTGTTGAGAGGAGTGTGCTTTCTGTACTCTCACAGCTCACAATCATTTCTTTTAATACCTTCAACACCTCAACCAATTTCATTTGTTTTTAACACAGAATGAGTTTAAACCAGGTGAAAATTTCCCGAGCAGTTACTCAGTCCCTCAGCTATCTCCTGTCATATCACTCTATTTAAATCTCTTATGGGAGGATTTAGATTTCCTTTTTTTTGCACAGTAATGGATTAAAGGTAAAATATCAACTTGGAATTCCCCAGGAAAGGAATTTCAGTCATATTTTATAAGAGGTTTTAAGCAGATTCAAAGAGAAGGTTTAGTTTATGAATTAGTAGCACATGCAGAGCATCTGCACTGACCTTGTAGACACTAACAGCTCTGTCTGAGGCATTTAAGTCAGTTGGGTCAATGATTAACTGATTAAAAATTCTCAGTAGTTTTTTACATAATAGACTATCATATTCTGTCAAGTAAACCATATAAGAGTATTTAGATTTGTAATTCAGAATAGGAAGAACTATTTTTCCCAGAACATAGTAATGTGGAAAATAAAGTACTAATAGAATTGCCAGAATAATTTACCATTGCATGACATGAAAGTGGCTTAAATCTCTGCTGGCAGAGGAGCACACAGAGTAATGGTTCAAAGTGATCATTACTACTTAATCATGACACGTTCTGCTGGAAGAGCTAGTTATAATTCTTCAAAATGAGACATTTATATTTCCTCAACTCTTTCTCTTCTTCCTTTTTATGGCATATATCAAATGACAAGGTTCATATTGAGATGAAATTTGTTCAAATTAGTTAGTGAATTAGTAGAAGAATGACCATAAAATAGTTATTTAAACTTTATTCAAATAATGAAAAGCATTTCAAACCATAGTTATCACTGTTATCATCACTGACTTGAAAATCAATAGCAAATAACATAATTCTTTTTTTTACTCCAATCATTTATATTTCATTTATATATTTATAGATGCAGTCAGGTAGCAGTCTCCAACACAATTCCAGTTCCATATCCTATTTCTCTTGTTTGGTTTGGTTACAGTACATTTGCATTGTTTTATTTTTGTGCCATATTGTGGAAAGAAATTTAATTGCTGTTATTTTTAGTTTACCAAATTAACCTTCTTCAGCAAGAACACCTGCAGAAGGAATCCCTGGAAAGTATATGCAAAATTTTTTTAAACATTTGTGCTTAATATATGAGAGATAGTTTGAAAGAGTTCATAATAATCCTTAAATTATTAAAAATTATGAAAACTAATTTTAAAATTACTAGTATTTTGGCTGCCAGTTGATTCATGCCCAAGGGATATTAGAAAAGCAAGCACTTTCCAGGTGTTCTGAATTATTTGGGCAAGCCTGCTGAGACTCCTGACTGGCAAACAGGAATGCCTCCAGCCCCAAGAAATACCATCAGAGTTTTTCAGGATTAGAGAGAGATGAGTGGCCTGGATTACTCAGTACCACCCCATTAATGAAACCCAAGGTTTGATGAAGATGTGTAAGCACATTACAGGCCATTAGACACCTCAGTGTTGTATCTCTCGTTGTGTGTTCTTGGAGAGCCAGTGCTGTCTCCCAGAGCCCTACAAATATTATTGGACTTTTCTAGGTAATTAGGGCCATTTTCAGTTAATAACAAGCACTGAATGATGGATCATTAGGATATTTAAATGCTACTCATATGTGAAACCGCAGAACTACCCAATGTTTTAATTCATTTGGTTCTTGATGTTGATTAGTAAAGGAGATTTGCAAGAAAATTATTGAATGAATGGACCACTCAATTAATATTTTGGTTATAATGGACATTGTCTTGTGTTAAAAGAAGAGGGATGACACTTAATGACAACTTGCAAAGTAACTTTTCCTTGGAATCCTCTTTCAGTGCACTGATCACTTTGTGAGAGGCTGTTTTAAATCCTATGCCTATGACTAGTTTTCCTCATTGTAACAGGATGGAACCATTTCAAATATTTCAATTTCAAAGCCACACAGGGTTTAAAATTTATATTTATCCAGTATCTCTATAAGATTATGGAGAAGATATGTCAAGTATGTTTGTAAAAACAGATCTCTCCTTGGTGATCCAGTAAAGGCTTCGATTTTCTGTCTAATATCGAGGATTTTTTTTTCTTGTGTTTCTTGTGTTTCATTCTGTTTTCTTCCTCCCTTTTGTAGTGTCCTTCACTGACACACAGGCTCTGTGCTGCAGCCTCCTTGAATTCTGGGCAGGATAGGATGACTTTTCTTCACTCTGCTGTGCCTGTTATGTGGCCATTTGTTTGCTAATGTCAAACATCCACTGTGGCACGTTAGGTCGAGCTGTAAGAAGAAATGTCCAGGCTTTTTTGGTACTGTCAAAGACATGGGAAATGCCTGACCTTTGAGGTCATTATGGAAATTATAGCAGTAGAACATTTTCCTTTGGACCAAGTGTCCAATATCACGTATCTGACTATATGCATGAACTTCAATGAAACATTTTTAAAATGTTTCTAAAAATGGCTCTAAACATGAGTTTTCTGCATACTGTGTCTTGTCTGAAAAGATGGAGTCTGTCTTGAAGGTACAGGAGCACCACAAAATGTTCTTGCTCTCTCTAATAAATTAGAATTTATCAGCTGAAATTCTGTTATCAGTAAAAAAAATAAAAACATTGAACAAAAGCCAGTTCTTATACTCAAAAGAGGAGCTCTACTAACCTATGAGATATCAAAGACTAGGCCAAGCAGAAAAAAGCCATTGAGTTTTGCCCAAAGTTAATATTTGTTGAAATACCTTGAAAAATGTGCCGTGACTTTAGGTTTTGTAGGATAATGCTCTCACTGAAATTTTTTATGGCCAATACTACAGCTGTAGGTAGTCACTTAAAAGCAGTAGTAAGTGGAGAAATCAAGAGAACCTATCCTTAAAAAATCAAAAATCAAAACCATTAATTTTGTGTCATAAGAGAACTGCAGGGCAAATAAAATGAGTTGATATTTGATCCATAGACAGTGACATTTGATCCACAGACAGTGATATTAGGTAAAGGACTTATGGAGTTATGTGCCAATTTCATGTTTCTGGGAAATACTGGCAGTTGCATTTGAGAGGACACAAAGTGTTATTTTACAGTCTAAATGTGAGATGGAAAGAGTTGATATAATGTTTTTAATTCATACAGATGCTTTTTATCACATAGTCATTTGTCATATAGTAGAATTAAGTTAGAATTAATTTGCTCTATCCAAGGATTTAAATGATCTAGAAAAAACCGATCTTGTTCTTTTATAAAAACTATGGAGGAAAACATTTAGAATTGTGGAACAGAGAAAGACTATTACTCTGTGTGAAATCAATGAGACTATGCACAAGGGAGAGAGGGATACTCAGCATGAGTTAAGGGTTAGTAGAAATAAGCCTTTAGTGTGAAATTCAATCCTGCACTAAGTACCAACACAGACATATCACACGAACCAATTAAGGACCATTTAAGACTGATGTACTGTTTCATTAAGTGTCTCTTAAATGTAAAGCTTGACTAGGTCCCATCAGTCAAATATTCACTTAAAGGTGACCAATAAAGATAGTAGAAAAGGTTTTCCTTTAATTTACCTTTTCACCAGGAAGAATCTTGCTGAGAAGCTTGAAAACAGTCTATAGTAACAGGAGGTTAAAAGGTGGTCTGTGCTTTCACAACTCCCTAGCTTATTTGTAATTAAGAGATGCACTGCATTTTACTCTGCAAGGCTGCAGTTCCTCATAGAACAGCTTGTGAATTATCAAGAAAGAGTACTAATTGTTTGTGTGATCATTAATTAGCCATCCTGCCTTTCCATATCATCATTTAACTCCATTAAGCTTAATGTTTATACATATAGTGTATTAATGATCTCGCATATAGCTAGCAGTGGAATACATAGTGATTAGTGAAGCAATAATCACATAAAACATTATAAATTTCATCAGTATTAATGTTAATTTCATCAATTTGCAGCATTACAATAGAAACTGGATCACAATTGGAGATATATTTTCAGAGATTATAAATTATTACTGGACGAAATAATTTCCAGAGCAACAAAACCTCAAGAAAATAACACTGTCTTTGTGGAGTATTCTTTAACAAACAAAGAGACAGACAAAAAACCTCAAACAAAACAACTCCACCAAAAACCAACACAGAAAATAAGCTGAGTTTCTAGTGAGACCAGTATAATAACTGGAAGTCTGGAAGTTCTCATTTATTTTAGTTCTCCTTTCATGACATCATGATGACATGACAGTGATCATTTTCAGGAGCCATGTTTCTATGTTCTAAATGTTATTCCAAATTTTGGTCAAGACAACTGATATATAGACTGTCTGTGAGCACTCATAAAAAGGTGACACAGCTAGTGAGATGTACAGTAAGATTTACATACAAACCACCTCAAAGACTGTAAAGATTCAGAAGGTATAAAGTGACACTCCTTTGGATCATTTACCACTTCATACCACGGAGATTCTCATCCTAGAATGGTTTTGTTTGAGAAGAGTGGGAAGTAGTGGGAACAGAACACAGTGATGGGGGTATTTTCTGCATTTCACAGCTTAGTGCAATAGGACCAGTGCATTTAGAACAAATAGCAGAAAATATTTTATGCAGAGAATAATTAGCCCATGGATTTTTCCGTGGCAGATAATGTGTTTGTATGTAATGGGGCTCGGTAATATACTTGCTAATGCTATTTATAGCTGTGATAACACAGATTATCAAATCTCATGTGTCAGAGAAATATGATGAAAAGGGAACACTTCTTACTTTTTCTTACTGTCATTTCATAGTCAGTTAGATGTTTTATGGGTATATAAAGTAGAGACATAAAGCATGAGAGGAGCTGTAGAAGAGGAGATGGACCCATTATGACAAATTCTCTGTTACTTGCTCTGTGAATGCCCAATCCAGAATAACCATTGTTGCCAAACTGCAGAAAATATTTTGATTTTAAGAGTTAGCTTGGACAAGCAAAGCTGACAAATGTTAGAGCTAAAATAAAAACTATGGTGCAGAGCTGAGTGACCCAATAACAATATCTTACAACTTTGTTATTCATATGACACCTGATTTATACTGCTGTAGTTCCCCCTGATTTCAACGACTCCTCGTGATTTACATTACTAAAAATGGCAGTGAGATCAATTCTTGCACAAAAAGGCATTTTCAGTAGAGATTTTTCTGTCTCAGTGCTCTGTTGCACAGGTTTAAGCACTATTTTCTCTTTTGTCACTTTTTGGTCAAGACATATTCTCTGTAAAAGGTTCTGGAAGTGTTCTGTCACATGCTTTCTAACTGAAGGCATCATTTACCAGAGCCTATATTCGGTGTCATACTCTTTAAAAGAATTGCTCTTGGCAACACAGCCTAATGGTATTACAAATCCTGTCACAATATCAATAGTGAAGTGGTAAGAGAGTTAGAAAGATCAGAATGGTGCTCCATAGTCATATAGGTTGGCAAAGAATAATCTGACTCTTCTCTTGCTCATACCAATGAAATGTTGTCAATCTCGACTATCCTGATTTATGGTCTGTTTGGAAGACCACTGGAATCAATCTTCACCTGTCCAAGGAAAACAAAGAATTTCAATTTAAGTGCTCCACAGTTCTAAATAAGAAACATGAACTTAGTGGGTAAACAGATCAGTAGTATCATCTTTGTTTCCAATTTAACAGGAAAGTAAATCACCTTAGCAAAATATTCTTTTGGATTAATTTAAAACAAGATCATATAATCCAGCAGATTCCATGTAGAATTTTGTATATCCAGTAAAATATGTCAAAAAGCCACCTAAGAAAACATCAAAGCAGTGTCAAATTTGACCATATCAGACCGACTGCAACCTGTCAGTCACAGAGCCCCACCAGATAACTGGATAAATCATGACAAAATGAAGCATTTATTTGGTTCTTTCTGTGCATTTTTGAAAACTAAGCAACAGAATTTCCAAGATGGCAACAGCCTAGAAAGTTTACAGAATTTCCTAAAATTAAGTGGATGCACTCGGAGTGTATAATGTTACAGAAGAAAACCTCATAGTCTTAGTAAAACTAAATGTTTAGTATAACAAACTTGACTATGTTTCCCAGAAGAATTATTAGTGATTTCAATATATTATTATTATGTAATTAGTTTAATTTTAATTTTAGGTATTGGAAAAGGGTGTGAGGTCTTTGTGATAATAATTGTCTGTTATAATCCACTCTGAAGACACCTTGATGAGACAGCTATTCATTGCTGATACTGTAAAAAATCAGTAGGAAAAGTAAAAGCAGCTAAAATAGAAGAAATTTTTATGTATTTAAACTGTTTCTGAATTTTGTTAATTTCTTCTGAATTTTGTTATCAATTTCTTTAATTAGACTAAGTGTTTACCAAAGAAGAAAGTAAAACCATTGATGGACTTAACCCTTATAAAACAGTTATACTGTGCGAATGCAATTACTTTTGCTTCTGTAAAACTATCAGAAAAGTTAGTGGCTCCCTAAGGTATATTTAAACATTCTTTGATGAATTTTCTTGTGTCATGCTTGATTGTGCATGTGGCACACAATTCCAAAGAATGTGTACAGCGGGAGCAATCCCTTCTCCTATGTAAGCGTAATATGGCTTCATATATAATCATGAACAATTTACATGCTTTTTATCTGTGCAGGAACAACCATATTTAATGCAGTGCTTCAATGAAAAGGTTCTTGTCAGTCATCTACTCATGGGCAGGTTGTTATCTACAAAACAAGCATTCAATATGAATATAAGGCCAAGTCGGCCTTGTTAGTGTAGCATGCTCAAGTGAATTAGGAAGACTCAAAACAATTCAAGTATTTTTGTATTTTTAAAGCACCTGATTTTTATATGCCCATGTATCAACCTGTCACTAAGTCAGGAAGCAAATGTAGTCTAGTATTGGATGCAGAGAAGGTCCCTGCAAATGCTGGACAGCATTCCTGCCAATGGGAGCTACTCATAATAGTTCACCTTGTATCACTGCTACTACCTTGAAAGCATCCCTTATCCTTAGAGCCTTCACACAATTTTCACTGTTCTATCTTTCTTTCTTTCTCTCCCCATGTGTTGTGTCAGCATTGCAAGTCTGGTTAGTACTGCATAGAACTGTCATTTCTGCGTCCTCTTGATTTTAGGCACCTGGAAAAGAAAGGAATTTTAACTGTTCATTAAAGAGTATACAAAGGAAAAGCAATCTTCACCAGTTACTATAATGTGGACTGTTTTTGACCTGTGACCTATATGTATGGAAATACATGACAATTACTTCTTGTTTTTACATGTGTATGGAGATTCTGGCATCCTTGGCATTTGTTCTTAAGACTGGAGTGGGCACAGGCCATTTTACCCAAGCTGCTGCACTTGAGTCCCTCTCTCCTGTTCTTTATGGTCTTTTGCAGTGTCATTTCCGTTCCACCATTACCTCCCCTGCTCTTCTCTGTCCTCAATCCAGTCTCATTCCTTTCACTAGTGCAGGATCCATGGGCTTCTCTTGCAGTATCTACTTGACCACTTGCCCTCAGTTTCTCCTGCACTCTACTGCCCAATTCCAGTTTCTCTCAATTCTGTCTTCAGTATCTTTGCAACAACTTCTCCCAGTTTAGGTCCCTAGAAACCCTTTTATCTCTCTGTAATCAAATGGGATAGCTTTTACTCTGTTCCTGGAAGTGGCTGAGCTTCTTGGAAATTTTTCTACATTTTTTTCCTGAAATTTTCGAAAATCAACCTGAGAATCTCAGAAATTTCCTAGAGACTTTCATTCTAAATAATTCCTGTTTTGTAAAGCTATGGGCAATTGAGAATGTGATTTTATGACTGTAATAATCACAAAGTTTCACAGGAGACAACCTTTTAGCCCTACTTTTTCAGCTGTACCAAATCATATTTTTGACTCATTATTCATTTTATATTTTGACTCATTATGCTATTAATTCAAAATGTGTGATTTCACTGAAATAGCCTCTTCTTGCTATCATGAAAATTAGGGACAAAATCACTGCTGGCTATCTTTTGCTGTGCTTTAAAAATATTCAGATACATTACTGATATCAAAATATAGATGTTGTACATTCAAGTTTAAACAAAGTCTTGTAGACAAAGAGAATGCGTGAATGGAGGACTGAGCAGACATAACACTTTTTATTGCTACAAATACATAATTTCTCTTTAAAAACAGGAGGGGGAAGTAAGTTCTTTGATGGTAATTCTATTTTTAATTAATTTTTAGGGCCATGAATTAACATAACTCGAAAGTTTGAAGATTGACGTTTCACTTTGACAATGTACATTAAGATTTAATGACCTAGACTTATTTACACATAAATGAGTTTTCTAATGGTCTAATTAATAAAATGCATCAGTTTGCCTCTTTTAAATTAAACCACTCTAAGGTAGATTCTTTTAGTAATTTCAAATGTTTAATAAAAGATGAAAGCCTTCAGTTATTTTAAGTGAGTACTTTTCTAACAAACCGTTTCATCTTAACATGTTCCTGCTGCATAAAAAATTTGGACTTTACATTCAGACTAAATTTAAAAATAGGATCAATTAAATTTAATTTAAAATTCAGAGGAATCTGATATTTTGTGTAGGAAAAATGTAACTAAATGTTTACATCTTGATACACTCCTGTATGAGTTTGTTCCTGACTCCCAGGAACTGCTCTTTTCAGAAGAGGGTCTGCAAAAGGTCTTGTTTGTGAAACGAGAAGTGTGTCTTCTCAGCACTTAGAAGAAAAAGTCCTCTGCTTCTCTTGGCTGCTCAGTCAGACTTGATTCATGGTATGTTAAGGGTTCTAAGGGTTTGGTTTTATTAGGAGATTTAATTATGAAATAATTTTCACTGATTCTTAAGCATTCTTTCCAGCTGTGTTAGCTAGAAATCAATTTACATCAGAAAAAGAAAACGTATTAATTTTCTGAGTTTTATTATCTTTTGTCTGGAGGCTTCCAAGTACCTTGTAGAGATAAATTTTACCCCCTTTTTTAAAGAGCAGGAAGCTAGGATATAGAATGAATCAGGACTTGCCCAAGATCATAGAGAAAACTGAGCAACAGATCTCTTCATTCTTGGCTAACTCTTAATGTTGTGACACAGGCCAACATTTCTGACGTGCAATAGTTACTTATAGGAGTGACAAACTTCAGGTACAAGAGGACCCCCACAGGTTTCCGTGGGGCTGCTTGTGTGAATGAAGCTGAGCATTCAGAGAAAGTATTTGCAGGATTAAGGCTTTACATATGGTGGAGAATTGAGCTTTATATATCCTTTAAATAGATTCCCAATCCTTTGTGCTTCCCATTGTCCTGTGTTGTCTCTCACTCTGAAATAGGGCATATCAGACAGCCAGGAGAACTGAGCAGACAACTGGAAGGGAGAAGACTGTCTCCTATGAATTAAAAAATCTAAAGGCTGACCCCCCAAATCATACGCTTCAGTTTCAATAACTTCCATGGCTTTGATATCAATCCTGTGATTCTATTTTGGTTTGCCTTCTGATTTTTGAACTCCTGGGGTTGGCTACACTGACATCATCTTTAAATTTGGTGGGGAGAGACAAAGGCAAGCATTGTTAGGGTGAAGGAGCCTGAACAGCAGCAGCTGCTGATCTGCTCAGTCAACACAGTCTATTTTATCACACGGCTTGAGATCGAAGGTTTCTCAACTGTATTTTTTAGCACATTAAGTAAAAGGTTGTTTGTTTCTTGACTGAAGCGATTATACCCTTGATGAGGTGCTACTGCCTGTTTTGCAAAATAATAAAGACTGTTAATCTTATGATAAACTCAGGGGTGCAAAATGAGCGTCACTCAAACCTCTATTGTATTACATTCATAGTCAGAATGTTCAGAAAAGAGACCTGCATCTCTGAAGTCATGATTATCTCTGCTTTAATGTGCATTGCATCAGTTACAAAACACAAAAATTAAGTTACCCGAGTCTCCTGTTAGGGCTGGAGAGCAATGCAATTTAAGTAAATAATAACACAAAGCATCAGCAAGATCTGAACAGGGGATATGTCTGTTTATGAGCTGTACCTCAGGGATATTTTTAGTCTGTATCCCTCAGAGAAAGGATTTGTGGCAAGAAACGCGGTATGTTAAGAAGTTCACTGTCATCTAAATAGCCCCTGCACTGGAGACCACGAAGTATTGTAGACCATAATTGATCATTCAGCTGACTATCAGTGGTAGGTCAACAATTTCGTGACAGACTAGTGAATCCAGGCAGTTTGTGAGCCCACTACCTGTAACTTGTTCCTAGACAGCTCTGTAGAAAACCCCACAGCTGCAGCAGCGCTGTGGCTGTGTGTAGATGGCCCTGGGCAGTGTCACACAGTCACACAGTGTCACTGGGGAGCAGGTGCTGTGTGAGCACTGGAGCCATTGCACAGCAACAGCACAGCTGTGTTTGGGCTCCTCACGCAGACAGGAACAATATGTCCACACTGCAATTCTGCTTTTAGTAGCAAGGGATTTGGAGATACCACTGTGTAACACTGCATTATGCTATGCAGACATGCACCTGGTGAAATGGGAGCAGAGAGGGGAAATCCTGGCTCCCACTGGAGTCAGTGGGAGTTCTCCTGTCGCTTCACTTGGTTCAGGATTACACCCCTCCATTTTTTTACTGGCTCGGGGTTTCCCACCTACATATGAATTCATCCCACAGACTATTCATTGCAATTCTTATTCTTCATTCAAGTTGTTTTGCAACTGTTATAAACTGAAGAATAGAAGATAAATCTCTGGCAATGAAGGTCTTTAGTTACGAGGACTGCCTTTTACTGTCTGTTGCTATAGTGCCTAGCACAATAGGGGCCTGGGTCTTCACTGGAGTCAATGCAGGATCCTCATTGTAGTAATAAATGTTCCTGAAGAGATAAAAAAATACAACAGCTACTCTGTAATGTAGTTATGCACCATAATGGCATAAAATAATTTGACATACAGACTAGTCTCATTATATGTGGGATTGCACCTTGCTCTGCAAAAATTTGTCTGGTACTAAAATAGTGCCTCATGTAGCACTGAGGTTTTTTCAGTAACACAAGTGATTTTAAAGACCCCAGAGCTCCCATTCACATATATACAGATACCACACTCTAATGTAGCACTGAACTGGGGAAAAGCAGCTACACAGAAGATGAAATGCAGATAGTGTTTAACAATACAAGAGCTGCAAGACAGAATGTGAGCTAAAAAAGTGCTCTGGTAATGTTGTGAGGTGGATTTAAATACACAGGAAATAATCTGCCAGGATGGAATTTGGCAAGTTAATTTGGCCAGAGTTAATTCTCGCATGTCATCCAGAATGTGTCGTGTCCATCTGAATAATGTTCTACTAGATGCAAATAGGCAGAAACTTTCCAGTAATTAGTACGTCATTAGAAAATGCTGAGTTATTGAACACAGAAATACCTCACAGGAAATTCTATGGGTCTCTGGGTTTTTCTGTTGGGGTTTTGTGTGGCCTTCCTCCAACTCCAGGGCACCTACTAGGCTTCCTGAAGCTCAGCTAGGAGCTGAACCCAGAGCTTACTTATCTTCCACATGGGTTTGGTAGAGCTGGAAATCCTGAATTTCTGAGATCTCCAAACCAAGCTGGGGCTCCTGCAGCTTTGACTCCTCTCTTCAAGAATTTGGATAATTTAACTCCTGCCCCAACCCCCAGCCAGTGGATGGGGAAGCCTGGAAGACCTAGGAAAGCTTACCCAGTAGTGGCTCGTTCATTTGCTCCTCCAGTAGTGGTCGCTGTAAATTCCAAGAACGCTGGTTTAAGTGAATGTTCATACTTTTGAGGCTCCTACTCTGTTGGGAGGTGAGAAACAACCCCAGGAACCCTGAGGCTCTCAGTTCTGCTGCTTTCATAAGGGGATGTTCCCCAGGTTCACCCAAGATTTGCGCAGTTGGTTCCATTTGTTTCAGACAAAATAATCACAACAAAACTATCTAATTTTGCTAATGTAAAATTTTCAGAATTTTAATGTCATTGGAAAATGTGACAATCCTCTTTTTTATTCTCATTCAAAACAGAAATGTGGAGCAGAGATCTTGAATTTGGGTGAAAGCATCTGCAAGCACTGTCTGGGGAATTATTCAGTGCTCTCTTTTTGGATCAAGTGCTTACCACTGAGTTACTAGCATCACTCCAAAGTTGTGTGCTTGGGGGTTTGCCATCTAAGGTTGTTTGAGTGAGTCATTCTCAGCGTGTGAGATGTGGCATTTCCAGTCTAGGAGGTTGATAATGTTTGGCACTTATTTCTTGGTAGTGTATTGTTTACACCAGAGCCATTAAATGTTCTATAACCTTCAGATATCCTGTTTCTTAACCATGACTTTTTTAGTGTCAGGATGTGTTGAAGTGTATGTTCAGTCGTGGCGTGTGCAGAGTTCAAAGCTTTGTGACTGTTGCACAAAATCTCCCTGTGCCTTCACAGCTGTAATCTTTCCTCTTGACAGAATCATTAAAAATAGCTGTGGATGTTAAACGTGCTCCCTGCAACCCATAACAACAGCATTTCATTGCATCAGAGTTAATAGCTGTGGAAGGACTGAGCACAGCTGACTGGTGCAATGGAATGTCACCACATTTGCACTGAATGCTCTCCTGTCCTGGGCCAAGATAGAGGAGAGCTAACAGCACTTCAGACAAACAGCCTCTGAAATGCGTGTAATTAGGATAGAGTTTGCACTTGGTGTGGTAAATAAGAATAATTACAGCTCTCAAAACACACATTTAACAGATATTCAAGCACTGTAACAAGTCACCAGCAATCAGTGGTGAGTAAATGTTATTAGAAATACAGAGATAGGTAGTGTCCATGTGTGCATGCAGAAAAGCAAGGGTGGCCAATGCTGCAGGTCCCTCCTTGTGTCCCTTCATGTAGTCTAGGTACAATGGCAGCAAAAGCTGCATTTGCAGGTGCTTGTACCAGGGCACACCTTGCTTGCAGTACCTGAGAATGCAAATGAATCTGGCACTCACATAGGAAAGAATACTGAGTATTCAACATTAGCCTTCTGACTGTTGTAGGACCACCCCTTTGTGGCAAAGTGTTTGCAGGACCAGGACTGGAAAAAGTTTGGCTGGGATTAGAAGCTGTCAGTTCCCAGAATCACAAAAATTTGGAAAATGACAGTGAAGGCCTTATTCAAGGCAATGCAATGGAATTTCCTCACTGCTTTGCAGAAAATTATATTAATAAACAGTTAATCTGGTAATTATTCCAGAAGATCATGCACAGAGACATCAAAAAAGAAATGGTGCTGGCATTGTTTTATGTATAACGAGTGAGATGTCAGCACTATGCAGTGATCTCAGCTCAGTGGTGCCTAACAAGAGAGGAAAGGTGTATGCTGGGGGAAAGAGAGCGAAAAAAGAAAAGTTTGAGACAGTATTTGTTTAAAGAAAGAAATCCATCATATGGCTTTTTAAAATGAGGATAAAACTACTCTCTCCAGCTGCATACAAATGGGAGAGCAGCTCATGTATTAAAATGGATCTGGGACTTTCAAGTACTTCACTCAATATGCAGAAAATTATACTGGATGTTGACAGCTTTTCTCCACAGAGAAGACAGCTCTGGGGGTCCTTTTATTAGACAGTATAAAAAAAATCCTAAAGTGAAGTTTTGGCAAGTAAATAGGCAAATATTCAATAAAATAATCAAGTGCTGTTTTTATTTTGCTGTTCAGTGTGGAGTTTGTTACATTTTCTGCAAATAATACACAAAACAAATGCCTTTTTAGGACTGTGGGAAGTACTCACATGTGACAAATGGTGATTGGTATACAAATGTGCTGAGCTGGTAATGTCTGTGTTCTCCAGAGCCTATGAATCATCTGACAGTGCCAGTGTGAAGTTAAAGTAGATAAAAATATTTTCCTTTTCCATTCTGGAACAGAACCAGGGAACCTTCCTGGTAATTTAGAGATGACGCCCTGTGAAACCACAAGCCCTGTCCATTCTCGAAATCTCTGTCCAGTTCCAGGTATGAGCTCTGTATACTCCACATGTGAACTATATATATTACCCTTATTCTCATAGGTGTACCCCTAGTAGAGAGGCAAAGCCTGGATTCAAGCCCTCAGAACTACCTGCTACCTTCTAGCATTGTTGAAACTGCATTACCCTCCATCTCTTCGTGTCTGGAATCAGGCTGGGATCAGTTTACCCCTAAAGGTAAACTCACTGGGTATAGATGCAAAGTGACTGTTGTGGAAGTACTTTGTCTCAGGAACTGCTTCCTCCATATCCCTGTGAGCTGACGCTGAAAAACGCTCATTCTAAAGTAGTTCTTCAGGGATTCTTTGAGCCTTCTCCAAGAACAGAGGGAAAGCTGTTTGGGGAAACAACAGTTTATACTGTGATGGTTATACCTTTCACAAAATATTTGATCCTTGTATGAGCATCTGGGACACAAAACAGTTAAAATGCAAACAAAAGGGTTAACTGGGATAATAAAGAACATCAGCAAACATATACAGTATAAATATGATGGGTGATACACGGAGATAAAAATCAGCTTGGCAGCTCTTAATTTGCATTTCCATTCAAAAGACAAGTTCCCAGAAACAGCTGCACTATTCCCATGCTTTACCTCTCCCAGACTCATGAAGGGCCTTTGCATTTCAGGGAAGGAATGCTTCTTCCTTGAAACTTCATATATTATCTCTCTTGGGTTTTCCTCTCTTAATTGCTTTCAATCAAACCAGAGGTTTCTTTGTTGTTTGTCTTTCTATGTTTGCTTGCAGAGCTACAATTAAACACCAATTACAATTTGGATAGGTGACAATGTAATGCCATTCCAGTTTAACTGTCTTTTTCAAGTCTTGATAATGTATGTTTTAATCATAGTGACTGTTATCACATAGAAAGCCACATGAATCAAATACAGATGCTACTATGCAGTTTAAAATTATTGCCATTTTAGAATAGTAAAAAGACTGATGAAATTGATATACTGAGAGAGTTTTGTAAATCTCTGCAAAGGCACAGGAATACATTGCATAGTGCAATGAGAGATATGTCTGCAGCTTGTTCTCATTTAAAAATCCTTATGTAGTTTCAAATATTCATCCCATTTTCTCTCTTCAAAATGTGTACTTTGTTCTTCACTTTCTACAGTGGTAGAAATGAAAGGCTAAAATTATCTTCATGGCTTGTCATTTGACAGGTTATTCCACTGGCTCATTCTTTACCTTTTTGCCACAAAGACCCTTTGAAGCTTACACTGTTCTCTCTAACTGACTTTTGTATCTGACCTCTACCAGCACTTAATCGAGGGATATTTGCTAACTTAATTAGCCAGTACTGCATTTTCTGTCAAATTGCTCCTAACCTCTTTTCCACATCTACACAAGGCCCAGATCCTCACCTGTAGCTCAGCAAGGTGTAAAATACAGTTGTTCTTCTGTGACTGACCTTCATCTATTCCTCTTCTATATCCACAGAGCTATCCAAGGTGAGACAATTTATTGCCACTTTATTGACTCTTACGTCAGACTCCCCCTGGGATTTCAGTGCCACCTGGGGCTTCTCAGTTCTAGAATAACATAATTGTTTCATAAAATAACTATAGAGAAGGAAGGGAAGCAGGTAGGAGTCAGGTTGCCCACAAATGTTGAATAATGGGACTGGAAGAAATGCTGCAAGTCCCTGTAAGCTGAAAGCTCACATTAACATCTCTATTCTGCCATTACACTGTATGCTCAATGATTGTTAGTTTTGGCTGGCGTTGCACAGTAAAGATGCATTAGAGTAATTATACTGTAATGACAGAAGATCATGAGTTAAAGATGTTGTGGATCCTGTTAGTACACACATCTGAAATTGTTTGGAGCTGATGTGGGAGGTGTATCCACATGGAATTTGATAGCTCTGATATTGTAATTAAAGCTGAGGAGATGAGGTTTGTACTTATTTCCTACTGCTACATGTGAATATTAATTAGCTCATGTAACCACCTGACCTTAGCAATAATTAGCTCTCTTAGATAAAGCAGAAGGGAACATATCAATTGCCCACTAAATATTTATTAAGAAAGCTGAGATTAAAACTGCCCAGTTGTGATAAGAGAAGGCTCCTGGAAGCCCAATTGCCTCCTCCGTAGTGGAAGGAAGATTAGAATCTTTCCAGTTTTCCCTGGCCTCTGCTTCGTGGAGGACAAGGATAATCCTGGCACCACACAGGCAACAGAAACACATCTGGTTTGGCACACAAAGGAGTAAGAGCATCTCAGGTCTGCAGAGATCTCAGATTTCTCAAGATAGATGAGGTTTTCTATTTTCCTGCTTGCCTTCCTGCCCGCATAGGCTGTGAGGAGGAGAGGTGACTCCAGAAGGCCAAAGATGTAAGCCTGAGCAAAAGACAAGCCCAAGCCTGTCCCCACGCCTGGACACCACGCCTGTTACTCTTTCTGAGGGCTTCAGCATCACCCTCAGAGAGAAGGGCAATTATTATTTCATCACTTGCAAAGATGAGATGAAAAGGTACATAGGAAACCCCTGCATTTTTGTACTGGGAAAGCCCTACAAATTAAACTAAATAAAACTAAAATTTTAGTCCCACATCCTAGGCTGCCTGGCTAAGCAATCCTTCTCACCATTCTCACTAGTAGTGTAGTGTGAGCTTTGGGGATATCCAGAAAATTGCGTTCAGGAAGAAATTTGAATGTGTGTTTTTTAAAGATGGCAAGTAAAAGCAATGGAGAAAAGGAGGATTAGTTTGTATCCACAGCATAACTAGGTAGCTCTGTTTCTCTCCCTGTTAGGACCTAGTCTTGTTTGGTGTACCAGCAGCCTTCCTAATGGTTTCCTGATAAGTCTCATTATAGAGTTCATATTTTTGTCCTTGTCGCATCTCCCTCTTCTCCTCCTGTCACAATTCCCTCCCCAGTCTTAAGGGTTTGATCACTTATGATATACAGTCTGTGCAGTCTGTGTGGAGGAACAGGCTGTGTTAAAAACGTGGTGTGTTCTTAATCGCTTTAGGGTTGACTAGGCAGTAATTCTCAGCAAAGGTGGTAGAGCACGATGCTGCTGTGCACTGGTGTCTGGCTGCTGCTCTGCTGGAGATCCGTGAGCAACAATAGCATTGCAAGTCCTCTTTCTTCTTTCCTGACAGCACCACAGTACCTGTGGCTTAATCAGTCAGTGTCAGACAGTGTCACAGGCTCTGAACGCTCCCCTAAGCAAAGCACAGCACAAATGCCTCCCTGCTGCTGGTAGCTTAGGTTACCATTACTAGGCTGAGCCGCCTGATGTAACACTCCAGTGCTCCAGACAGGCTGAAACCTTCAGAAGTGTTGGCACCAACATGTGTTCAGACCAAGACACCTCTAGCCCTGGGCCAGGTGGTTTCTGTGATCCCAGAACTCTGTTGGAGGCTGCCACCACAGCTACCCTGGTAGTGACAGCACAGACGGGAAGCAGAGCTGCTCCAAGAGGGTTGACGAAAGAAAAAGATGATGGTTGTGATCCTTGATACAGTTTTAGTCCCATATGTTACAGAAAAGCACAGATTTATCTATATTTTATATGAAAATATTGCATGCCTCTTGGGCTATCTGATTTGTAACTTTTTTCACGGGTATGATTTAAATCAGAAAGGATGAAGGGGGAAACCTACCCAAAGTGAAACGGTGGCATAAATAAAAGCTTTAGAGGAAACAATGGACTAGCTGACTATAGGGAATAATTGTAGCTCCATCAAAGTTACAGTGGTTTACTATTCCCAGCAGTGAGTCTGGTATCAAAGGGAATCCTAAACCTGAAGCCCTTGGAAAGAAGTGGGTTATCAGCAGATACAAACTCATTCATGTAGAGAATAAAGAGAACATTTTGCGAGTGGGACAGCCTGGTTTTTCTCAATTCTCTTCCTGGAGAATAACAGCATTCTCTTCCTGGAGCACTGAGTGGTTAAGCTTGGCCTTTCACCATGTTAACGCATTTTCCTCAGGGCCCTGTGCCTTCAAGATATGAATATATATTTTGTTGTTTGTTTGTTTGTTTTAAAAAGCATTATATAAGTTACATCTGTTCAGACAGGAAACTGATGGAAAAGTTTTCAAGTTCCATAAGTGAGGTAGAGCTGTGGTGTTAACACTGGAGTGAACCATGTTCACCCATGGGCACTGAGTGAGTATTCACAGCACCTTCAGTAAAACTGTGGTGTTTGAATGCTTTACAGAATAAAGGCCACCAATGATAAACTTCAAACACTTCATGGGCCCCCTTGATGCCGTATAGGCCTTTGCTGTGCATGGAAAACAATTACTTGGAGCTACCCTGCTAGTAACAGCACAGACTGGAGGCAGAGCTGCTGCCATAGAGCTGATAAGAGGAAAAGATTGCTGTGGTGACTGATATAATTCTAGTTGCATTATGTTACAGAGAATGAAGAAAGTAGGTTTAATAAGCGTGGAAACGCAGAGGAGCAATGACAACTTTACTTGATGTGTTCCAACTTGGCTGGGTCAGTCTTCCACCAAACAGAGGATCATTATGTGCAGGGCAAGGTATTTGGGGGCTCAGATTTTCATGAGGGTATTCCTTCTCTGGCCTTTTTGAACCAAAAGCCTTCCTCCCCTGGGGTTAGGGGTGTGCCTCAGTGCAGAGACTTGTCTTCCATAGCGTGGTCCAGCACTCAGAGTTGCCATCATATCATGCAGCAGGAAGACACATCTGTCTCCTACAAAACATGTACACAAATGGATGGAGAAATCAGTGGCACATTTTTTTTACAAGCACGAGGCCATTCACCCATTTGAGCTGTTGCAGGATTGAGATCTTGTTTAGAAACAAGATATTCAGTAAAAATAGTAAGTTAAATTTTATTTTTTAAAATCCTATACAGATTGTAAATATTTTGGAAATTAGAAAGGTACAAAAATGCTCAAGTTCTGCATATTCAGAGGCTTCAGCTTTAGTAAAATGTTTTATGAGGGTACCTTATAATTCATTTCAGTTGCCCCAGAAGTAAGAAGACAGTGGTGTTTCAGAGGCTGATTGCAGAGGTCATAACCTTCTGCATACAATATATTGAACAATTCCATCATTCCTGCCTTCAAAGTGAATTTAGACTGACATAGCAGAATAGAAAAAAAATGCTTAATAAACTAAGGGTTTTATTGCACACACACAGTCTCATAGGTATGCATTCAGCAAAGAGTAGACATGACTTTATAATAGGTGCACTAAAAAAAGCCATATGTTTGTATTAGTATCCCCTTTCAGTACAAAGCCCTTTCCAGTTATTTTACTCTCTATCCTCATCAGCTTTACATTTGTTTGACTATAGTATTACCTTAGTAGAGAAACTTTGTCATGCAAAGTGATAAAGATGAAATTTTAGAGAATGAATCTTTTATGGGCAGTGCACTGAGCCAAGTGAGGGAGTCAGGAGACAGTGCCCTGGCAAGCACTGGCCTGTGCGTGTCCTCTGGCGAGGAGAGAAACTTTCCGTTTTGCTGCCCCTCCAGCCTCCTCAAGAGCAACCAAGGCAAGTGCTTTCAGGGGCCAGCTCATCAGCCCAGATGCTGAATCAGCCCAAGAATATTTAACTGCAGCAGAAAAACGGATCACACCAGAGGGTTTTCTCCTTGAAGAGAACTTCACCCCGTTCTGATTAGAGATGGAAATTTCTGAGGTATTCTTTAAGAGGTCTCAGCAGTTTTAGTGTGGTCCAAAATGGAAGTCGTGGTCATGCATTTTTCAACTCAGGCATAAACATCAGTTAACCCTTTCATATGATAAGATTTGTAAGGAAAATCTATCAGACTTTCATCCCTTTGAAAAGAACCATAGCAAAACTATTTGATAAAAATTCCCAGTCTTTAGTACCCTCCCATTCAAAGTACCCCCTATGAGAAAGAAAAGCTTTGGTACCCCTAATTTCCAGATGAGCAGCTGAACTCTCAGAGGCTTAGACCAAATCCTCCAGGTTATCAGAGTGCCTCAAAACATTTGAGAGCCTAGGCCCACCTGAGCCTCTAAAAGCCAAGATGAAGGATGGGAAGCAAAGCCTTAAATCCAAGGCCTTCATGACTTAAATGTTAATCATAAACACAGCACCATCCTTGCCCTATAGAGAAGTTCCTCACTGTAAATAATTCTTCATAACCAACAAAAAGCTAATTGCTTTTGCTTTGCAGTCTCGCTGTTTTGTTATTATGTTGTACAGCCACTGCAACCTTACTTTTCAGCCATATGTTGTCAGTCATATTTTTGCCTCTTATAGCATTACTGTCAGGCTCTAAGCCGTTTATGAGTCCCTGAAATGTGAAATCATGGTCTTACTTAGTTTTCAGCTAACACTACTCCTTAGATACAAGAATATCACATTTACCATACAGAGAGATTTATTTAAAAGCCAATTGTGAATTACACTGAGGAATCTTCAGTAAACCATGACAATAAATAATGAGAGGATGTTTGCCTGTAGGACTTCCCTAATGAGTTTTGGTCTTAGGAAGGCATTCTGTTTGGAGGTCAGATACTTTTGTTTCTTGAGATTTTCATGTTTCTCCCAATCTAGCTGGGCTTTCTGTGAGGTTTCATTAATAATTGACCGTGGTGTCACTAATGATTATATAATGTGGAAAGGCATGACCATGGACATGCCTAGGGAAAAATAATTTTATGTACAATTCTAATGTCTAGTGTTTATTTATTTGTAAACAAAAAATGTTAAGATAGAACAGTATTTTGGAAGTAGACATAGACAAGTGTGCTTAGAAAGAGACTATGGACAGTTGTGAAGCAGAAAACAGTATTTTGGTCCATGTTCCTTACAGAAGGGTTCTTTCTCTGAGTTGCACCTCGTTGTATTGTTAGTCTTAGGTTCTGTTCTCAAATGAATTTTCCTAAATAAACTCTCTCACTTTTGTAACTGTGGCATTTGCATTAGTTCACCCTCCAAAACCCATGTTCCTTTGAGAGTGCCAGCCCCAGTCTGCTCCTTCAGTGGCACACAGGATCTAGATAATACAGGATTGTTGCAGCTATGTGAGTGAATATTGGTGCTCCCAGTATTCCATCAGTTCAAACCTTCATCACTCTGTAAGGTACACAGAAACAATTTTCCAGCATGGTATTTTGGACACTCTATCATAAGGAGATCTGTGCAACAGGAGTAGAAGTATTTACAAATATACAGGTATATGCAATGCATGTGTGGGAAGAAAATCAGTAGGGAATGTTGTACAGCTTATTATGTTTGAGGGCGATGGATGCAGTTCTGCTGATGGTCATTGAAACCCCTGGTGTCCTGTATTACATCTGTTCATATTTCCTGGTAGGTTTACCTAATGCTTGTTACAAATAAGAGAGCGAAGCACTTCTTTACTTGAACAGTGAGAGGCACGAGTGTAATTACCTAGAGACTCAGGGTCCTGAGCTGGTTCATTGGGCCTGGAGAGTTACTTACTGGATGTTTCTTGGATTCTTCAGAATAAATGGATATCCAGGTAGTGGGATAGGAAAATCACCAGACCTAAGGATTCCCCTAGGGACTAATCCCCATCCATCTTAAAAGGTAGCAAGAATGTACATAAGGCAGGCCACAGTTATCAGGAATAAATGTGTATGGCAAATAGGTCTGGTTGGATCTTTCAAGCTGAAATAACCTGCACTGTGGTTCTGAATAACTATCCAGGAGGAAGTCTTCCTCCCTAGTTGAGATATTTCATCTCTGCTCATTAATAACCCACTGTCATACTGGGAAGAACTCTCCTTAAAGCAGAGTAAAGGGGAAAAATACTGTTGTTAGATTCCTAAATTAATAAAGCCCTCACCTGATGTAAAGCAGCCCAACCATTTACTTAGTGCATACTGCAGCATGTCCTCAGTGGAGATGCACAATGGGAAAATCTGTGTTTGCCTCAGCTGCACATCTGATAGCCCTTAGGCAGAAGACAGGTTTGAAAAGCATCTAACCAGGAGCTGCACACAGTGCCTGGTTCTTCAGGTAGTGCAAGGTTCAGCAGCCAAGTTAAAAAAGAATGCACAGCTCCTTTCCTCCTTGCCTCCGGCAACATCTGCTCATGTGACAAAGGGAAAGCTCAGTAGTTCTGCACTTCAAATACTAGTTTGATGTCTGACTTATTATCAAAGTGCTCAGTAACTCTGTGCTTTGCACTTACCCAACTGTTTTAATCTCTCACAGTGCAAGCAACTTGATAATGTAATAATCAAACAAAAGATTGATGGAGGATGTAGCAAGCTCAACATATCCCTCCAATTCTTCTACTGAGGAGTGATGGATACTTCAAGAAGTGAAGAATTCCCCTAGTGGCTTCATTGTTTTCCAGGCATCTTTCTAGATGAACTTTTCCAATGGTAAAAAATCATTACAAAATAGAAATGCAATCTCTCCAAGGGCTAACTAGGAAACCCAGTCTAATATATGGTGCCATAATGCAATAATGAATCCCATAGGCAAACTAGGAATTTTTGTGAGGAGAAGAAATAGGGGAAATGTTACGTTAGGAGACTTAAGCCAGTGTTATTTTTAACCACCTTATAATTTGGGATGTTACAAACCAAGGTCTGTCCAAAAGCTAGAGCCTAAACTGCAAAATGAAAAATCCTTGAACTCTTGAAATGTGAGCTCTCATCTATATTGTACTTTTCAAAATGAAATGGCAGTGCTGAAAACACTGGTATATCTCTGATCTTCAAATCTTGAACTGGACTCAAATTTTACCTCTCAATCATAGCTGCAGCATGTTCTGCTTCTGTTCCTTCCAAGGTTATTGCAGGGTGCATAATTTCCCAGTTACATGGTGAAAGAGGCTGGGGGTATTTTATGGCTACATCAGAAGAAAGTCCCTTCCCAGTCAAACTGAAGCTACATCAGGCCCTCTGATGAGCAACAAAATAATGCTTAAACTTACTTTGCCAGAGGAAAGTAGAGGGAATTCAGGCTGGTATCATCCCCTCTGAGATGGCTTATCAGGAACTTTTATATGCAAAAATATAAAAAATTCCAGACCATCAGAAAAAAAAAAAAAAATTAAAGCTTGCTACTGGAGGAGAAAATGAGTGAGAAAAAATAAATCTTAGTCTAAAAAGCATATTTCATTTCCAGCATGACAGAGAGGAAATAGTTATCTAAATTATAGTTTTAGAGTGAGAGTTCAGCCAACAGAAGGTGTTGAAAATGAGAGACACTTGAAAGAAATATTATTTGCTTTCATCTTTCTTAGGAAAAAAAAACAATTGCAATCAATTATGTTGTAATTATAATATTGGCTTAAAACTATTTGTAAGATTACTTTGCATTTAATAACAGAGTTCACACTAATAGAAGATAAAAGCTCAGTTTGCCTACTTTGGAAAATAAAACTTAAGAATTGCCTTATTCAAATTGGAGTGAATCCAGTAGTCATATGTGTAACAACCCATAGGGATAGTTCAGGGCAATGGAATTATCTTCTGCTTTTCTTTTTGTCTTTGTAATCAAATTGATATGGACAAATCCATTTTCAATTTACTATTAATTGACTCCTTGTAAATACTAAAATTTTTGGCAGTCTGGGATCAGAGCATTTCTACTGTCCTCACAAAAGAGATTATAACAGGATTCAGTGCCCTGCAATAAATCTAAAGCCAAGCCAACACAACCGTACTTGGCAATTGTACCAAACTACTTCCCAGCAAAACAGTAAACTGAGAAAATCCCACTGCTACTAAAATTGTACTAGATGAAGATGAGGGCTCAAGTCCTTGAATGGAACATGCATAGTGTGAAAGAGTTTCTCTTTTCAGAAGATTTGATAAAAATGACATTGTGTTTTACCTAAAAAAATTAAATGTGGTTTTAATCCAAGAATTATAAATTACACAAATTTAAGGGTCACTGAAAAAAAAAAAAGGAACTGGAGAATATAGAAATCAGAAATTACTGTAACTTTGTTACTAGACCACAACCACTCGCAAAAACCCTTTTGGGAGAATGTCTGGGTTGCTTGAACCACCCCAAAATAGGTGATGAGACAAGGAAGAACTAAAGGTGTTTGTTAGTGAGCCATTGTGTTACCTGCAAGCTCACAAGAGTCAGCCCACCTTCCTTCAGCATCCTTTGAGGCAGTAAAGTAGTAATGTGCCCCCAGTGTACCCACTGACCCACCAGCTGACTGAATGGGCCTTAAAGCTCTCTTTTAAATCTTGTTCAAGTTGCTATTATTTCCTTCCTTTTTGTGCAATAAATGCTACACTGCTAGGAACCTGATGTGTCCCCGCCTGGTATTGCAGCAGTCGTTATTAGGAAAGAACATATTTTTCGATAGATAGATAACATTATATATTATTGTTTATACATTTATTACAATTGTATTATTTGTTTTTATAAGCTATATATTTATATGCATATTTTATACATTTGTCTTTTATATTACTTACATTATTTATCTAATGGTTTTTTCCTTATATTATATAACTTGCTTTATATAGTGGGTAAATATTATATATGTATCAAGTTATATTATGTATCAAGTTATGTGTTTACTTCTTTATATTTTTATTCAGTTTGTATACATATAAAATGACAACATGAAGGCTTAGGTCCTTTCCACCTATTTGGATGGGTGGGAAGAAGAGGATAGGTGTTGGGAATTCTTTTTTTTTTTTTTTAATTGAGTCAGTAATAGCTGATGCTGCTGTGTCCCAGGCTAAGGCTGTCAGGGAACTGGAGCAAAAGGTTTGACTCTGCAAGCAATGCAGCAGCAGCAGCCACCTCTGAGCAGCAAGCTTGTGCTGCTCTCACAGGTGGGTGGGTGATGCTGGGGGTGTTTGGGTGGTTAAGCACAGCTTGGCCTTGCCCTGGTGCTGCAGGTGGGAGCACAGTAACCCCAGGTGAATGACCTGCGACAGCAGCCAGCCAGCCCCTGCCCAGGGATGCCAGCTCTGCCCCAAGGGATGGCTCTGCCCCTGCTCTCTGCAGGGGGACCAGCCCTGCCCCAGCAGGGCAGCCCACACCCGGCACTTCACTTGCCCAGCGCAGGGCACGGCTGATAAGGAGGAGGCTTTTGATGTTGCAAAATTCTCCATCTGTTCCCAGGATTTCTAATTACATGCAGCTCGCTGTGCACCTCCAATGAGCCATAATTGGTAGGCGTTTGCCTCATTAATCATTCGGGTGCTGAGCTGCTCCGTGCACAACCGCAGCAGTTATGGCCAAGTGCACGCAGCCGTGCCGGGGTTTGTGTCCTGGACCATTGCAATTTTTGGAATTGTGGTGGATTCCGAGGACATTTGCAACTACTGTAGCTCAGGGGCCTTTTAATATCCTGAAATGCCACAAGATGGCACTGACTGATTCCGAGGACCCTCTGCCCGACTGTCCTGCTGCCTGGGCAGTGGCTTTGCCATGGCCACAGGTGCACTTTGGGCTTCTCAGGGCATTTTTTACGAACTAGCTGGTGGCCAACAGCACTCAGCTTTTCATGGTTTGTTTTGATCTGGTTTGTTTTAAGCTGTGGCTATGAAATGCTATGATTCTGTGATGCTATGTTTGTTTGTTAAAGGCCTGAGCCAAACCATACAAACAGAATATGAAGCCCAGGCTGCACAAGTCCGCCAACAGCTGATATTTGTTATTTGTTGTTAAATTGGGTGAGTTCTTATCAAAAGGTAGAAACTAGCAGTTATGGGACACTAACAAGAGTAAGTTCCTCTCCTCAGGTGAAGCATTTACTGAAGCAGTACTCGTAACTCTGCAACTTTGTGATGTGCTGCTGTGGTTGCTTCTTTCTGGAGTCTCTTCCTGCTATCATACTGATGAGTCCAACACAGCTGCTCATTTTGCAATGTTTCTTAAGCCCCTACTGTACTTTAGCATTCAACACTCATCTCTAGACTCGCCAGCTATCCCCAGCTGGTTCATAAAGTCCCTTGCTGCGTTGCTATAATAGTAAGGTATCGTTCACTACTTTTGCCCAAACCGTGCCTTTCAGGCTGGCTGTAGCATCCTGAATGCTGCTGCAGTGGCTCATCTGACTGATGAGCAGCAATAACTGCTTTTGAGTCCCTTTGTTGTTACACTGGTTCTGAGTTTCACCCATGTATAATGAATAGCCTAACAAACATAATGTATTATTTCATTCCTTTATTAAGTCATTTATTACACTGCAAGTTCTTTAACTGCATCAGAAAAGTTTCTGGATAAAAATAATTTAATGTCATGGTGTAACATTGGGCTGCTTTTCAGTAAACCCATACATTGCAGAACCTGCCCAACACTAAAACAATAATTTTTTTATTCAAGAAACTTCTAGTCAAAATTCTTATTTTGCCTGGAAATTGAGTTAGTTTTGGTTACCGAAAGGGAAAAAATTCTCTTTTAAATACCCTTCTCATCTATGAGAACATACACAATGGCCAACACTGAAATACTAAAAAAACTGTCTTTCTTTAAAAAACACAACAAATCCCACATTTTTTCTGGGTTTGAATCCAACTCTTAGTCAAAAGAAAATATAGAAATAAAAAACACCGACAGTACAAACAGAGAACAGATGTTTACATTTAAACATATGCCATTCAGCAGTTAAAAAAATGATTCAGACACCAACATATCAAAGGCATATTACTGGCATATGGTGTCTGACATGCTTCTGCAAATGAATACATACACTGGCTTTGATGACAACCATGCAAATTGTATCTTTCCACATGAACAGTTTATCAGGGAACAGTCAGATTTGTGCCTGTACATGAACATGTATTTTGGATTTCTTCTGGATGACACACCACGTTGTAACCATACAGTATGTCAAATCTGGAGAATGTGTGTCAAATCATCCTCCCTCTTGTTTCCTTTGAGACCCAGGGTAAGACTTTAAAGCATGTGAGACCCAGCAAGCAGGTCTGCTTGGCAACAAGGGCCATCTGGCAGCTGTGCTGCACAGGACTGCATTACAGCTCCAGGAAACACTCCTCCTTCTGGGACAGCGACCTTGTCTCCAAAAGAAGGGCCAGGGCAGAGAACCCTCTAAAACAGCTGGACAACACAGTGGCAAGTTTCAGCCAGCCACATCAGGTTGGTTTTTTGCCCTCTGCACTGTAGTTTTGCCCTGATTCCTTCAGTCCCTCAGCACCACTGAGAGTACAAAACCCAAGCAGAGTCTCCCATCAGTTGTCACAACACAGTCCTCATTTGGTGCATTTGCTAAAACCATTCCACACCAGATTAACTCACCGCGCAACGGGACCCAGGAACAGCAGAGCACAACCACTGAGCTGCTGAGCTGCTCTCCCAGAGGCAGGCGAGCACAGTGAATTGGACACAATGCACTACTCCCAATGCTCTTCTCAAATCTGACAGCTTGATCTCCTTGGCATATGGTTGGCGGTTCCAGCACATGGGAGGTGACCATTTCACCATAGGAGAAATAAGTGTTAAAGCTTATTAATATTATGGGGAATAGTCAGGCTAATATGAGGTTACACGTCAAGGTATTGTCTAGACTTCAGCATGTCTCAGGGGAAAGAGCATCATCTCGGGCGCTGGAAGAGCTATGCTGGCCAAGATTTGAGGTACCAACTCACAGATTCTGGAGGGCCTCCAGGATCAGATATAGGGTTAAGAAAACTTTTAAGATTTCAGCTTTAGAGCACAATACCTCAATTTTGCCTGTGTTCCTTTCTAGAAAGTCGTGAGGACATAATTGTTCAGCTCAGAGCCTGTGAAAGCGAGAATAAAATAAGCAAAGGTCATACTGAAGTTTACACAAATAGCAGCTGAGGAAGGTCAGGCTGTTGAGAGAGAGACTTTACTGTGCTCGTATACGTAAATAAACAAGGAAAAAAAAACCAAAAAGCCCACTTACTTAAAAAAAGCTAAGTTAACCCTGTAGTCCTCGCTCCCCCAAAACAGGTCCAGCTCCAACGCTGATTTTGAATTCAGGGACACTACCTGATTTGTGGGTCCTAAATACATATCTTTCTCTATTAAATAACTAACATATTTCTACATCAGAATATCCTTGAGCCTAGCAGTTGATTCATCATTTTAAACAATCACAATTCAACCAGGGAGAGTTTCCCACGAATGCCCTAAATCAGGAGAAATGCCAGTGTTATTCCTTCTCTGGCTACATTTGGAGCCTAACGGGGTGCACACGCTGGTCCCACTGATGCCTGGGTAAGGCTTTCAGCTCATAGCTGGCTCACATCCTGTCACTTCAGAGCACAGAGAGCAAGCTGTCCTCCCTCTCTGGGGACAAGAGTACATCTGTTCCTCAAGCCAAGGTGCTGAAGACAGGCAGCAGCTAACCAGTGTTCAGCATAAAACTGCCAAGCAACTCAGGCTAGCCTCAAGTTGCAGGTTTGATTGCAAGAGCTCTGCCCTGACGTTTTCTGTACTTCTGGTCCCAAGCTTAATGCCCTTAAATAAAAATACTGTTAGTGTTCATAGAATTTCCAGTTTATTCTATCAGCCTCTCCCGTGTGTTCTCTCTGGTATAGAAAAGGGGGGAAAAAATAGCCATATATTGTCTTCTAGTCACTAGTTGGTCCTCCTTTAAGGACCTTGTAAGACATTTTTTGTGTATTGTTTCCCTGCATATGTGGGCAGCTTTACTACTTCATCCCCCTCAGGACCACTTAACAACATCAGCAAAGCAATTAAGTGTAGTTTTCAGGAAAATGCCAGAGGCATTACACTGTCTGGATGGGAGTCTCAACCCAATTATTTTCAGCTAGTTGTGAACTGTGGAAAGTGGACTTTACTTCATTATAACTTCAGTTCCCACTGATTAAAAGTCTAGTGTGTTACAGACGGTAAGGAAAAATGAAACAATTAAACTTTCCATCAATAAAATTGCTGCATATTCTTCAACATAGGGGTTTACTTCTCTCCAGAGAAGTGATTAAAATGAACTGATTGAACTATAATTTGATTGACTGAAGAGCTGCAATCTATTGCACTAAAGCTTAAATTCCATCTTATTGCTCTATTTAACTCTGAATATAAAAAATTACTGGCGGTCTTGCAAACCCCTTATGCAGTCATCCAGCTGAAATTTCTTGCTGCTCACAGGCTGCAGCAGGTTCTGTTCTTTCACTGCTGCGTCTGCATGATTCACAATGGATCGACGTTGAAAAAGACACAATGATACCTAAGAAATTACATTAATACAGCCATAGAAAAAATCAGAAAAGGCCTGTTATATTATTAGGTATCTTCCACCTATTACATAATCATCTGGGACTTCTAAACACAACCACAGATAAAGTTAACCCAAGACTGGAGAGAATAACTGACAGGTTATATACAGTTGTTACAGCAAAAATTAGCATATTCTCCTGACGAAAAATGCAGCTGTTTTGCACCTTCCTACTGCAGAGCTGTGTTCAGGAAGGTGTGAGGCTGCCAGATGCCCAGGTTTGTAGATGTGCATGCCTACGTACGACTCTTTCCTTCTAGGAGAGACCAGAGGTGCACGTTGGGTCTGGCCTTGAGTTTAAGTTGTGCTGGCTGTGAATCAGGATGCCTGGGTTCCAGTGCAAAGACTGTTTCTTTGGACTAAGGACAAGTTTTTATAGTTTGCTTAGACTAGAAGGGCTTCATCTGCACAGATGAAGAAGCGTGTTGTCAGGGACTCCTATTGCACAGTGAGGTCTGACAAACACCACTTAAGAAACAATGAGCTCCTGGCTTCTGTCAGTTGGCTGCTATGATGTTTTGATACAGGAAACACAAAGAATATCGATGCCCCTCTGAAAATTTAATCAAAATGCCATTTCCTATCATGAAGTTGCCCCTCTGTTGTATGACACCTGTCTTCTCTATTCCCACCTTTTTATTTGAAACAAAGCACAGTATTTGGCTGTACCATAGTAGCATTGACTAAGAATATAATATAGTATTAAGTCACAGCAATAACACCTTATATTGGTAATTAAATGCATCAGGCTGGGTAGGATGTGTGGTTAAAGATGGACAACATCTGGGTTAAATACTTAATGCACTTCCTCTAACAGGCAGCTCAAACTCCAAATGAATTCAATACATTTTCCCACTAACATCACCAAGAATCAGGGCATGTACTCCTTGATAATATTTACTACTGAGCTCAGTTTGCTGTGGAGCTTTGCACTTCTGGCTGTGACTGATCTATGAGGTAGCTTCGCAGCTGATCAGGCCATGTACATGATTTGTGCCAGCTTCAGCCCTTGCACACTGCCCATCTCAGTTTTACAGGGATGTCAGACCACAGGCAAGGTCTACTAATCCACTAAATTCTTTGGCCTTGTTGTTTATGCATAGGGCATACCACAACTCTTCCTGTTTGTTAGCCAAAAGCCACCAGAACCGTAGGGGAGTCACTGAGGCAGTATCGATCTGAAAAAATGCTGCCTCCACCTAATTTAGAAGGAACACCTTTGACAAATTATATTTGGCACTTAATGATTGTCTTGCATTATTGGCCTTTTCTTTTGTTTCCTCTTTTGATTCCTAATTACTATCCATGTTATCCTCTACTCCTCCTCACCATAGGTAACTTTGAATAAAGCTGTGCAGCAACAGTACAGAAGCCTTTTAAAGGGAGACAATAAGGCAAATACAGAACCAAAAATTTGTAGGTGTCTCTGGAGGCTGTAGAATGTTTGCTATGTTCCCTGAGCCCAGCTTTACACACACCAGTGTAGTTTAAATGCCTACTTAATGCTTTTTAGTCTTTCATTTCTTACAAAGACAGATAAATTCTCTCAATTATCGCACCTTTGCATAAAAGCTGCAGAAGAAGGTGCTGTGTAATTAATATCTTGCTTTCTTGCAGGATGAGAAAATGGCAAAAAAAGGAGCCCCGAGTGTGAAACTAGCCTTGAGACTTCTCTAATTCCTAAATGGGAATGGCTGTTTGTCTTGCTGACACGAGTCGTAAGAAATCTGAGGAGAGGGCAAACAACATCAAGAGCAGGGCAGGACCTTCTTCCAAGCCCAGCCTGTGTTGGCACATGAAGGAGGAGGCACAGACATCTCTGGTGACCCAAGGAATTGCTTAATGTGGTTCCCTAGAGAAGTGTCAGCCAGTGCATGGACAAGAACTGGCCAACAGTTCCAACAGACCCTGCTGGCCTGGCACACCAGGGGAAAAGTGAAGAATGATTCAAGCTGGATCTGTTTTCCATACCCGTTGGCCTCCTGGCAGATGCACAGGAATAACCATTTGTAACTACCAGAAAGAATATAATTTTGCTACAGATGCTGTAAATCACACATGTGACTTCTCTGTCTTTATTCTATTATGGAGAGGCAATAGAATTTTCTGCGTTTTAACAACAAGTTGATTTCAAAATCTCCAATTACAAAAATACAGAAAAATGTATTCATCAGCAGATTTATGTTTGGAAAAGAACAGCATTTTAATTACATAGATACCGTAACTCCCCCCTTTTATGGAGATGTGATTACTGCAATTTCTTCATTAGGTAATAGCTTCGCTATTTAAGAAAACATTATTTAAAAGGCATGGTGTTATCTATTTATTCCACACTGTTAAAACCCCAGCAAAATGTAGGCAAACACTTGAATACTTTCCTCCTAGCAACCAAGGTCTCTCACATCAGAAAAGCAGCATATTTGTCTTTTTTCTGTACCTTATATTAACCCAAATTTCTAGTTTGTGACCCTTTGGCCATTCGATATCATCAAGTTCCTGGAATATAATTTTAGGCAAAAGCCTAAACCAGTGACTAAATCATCTCTTTGTTCAGTTTCTAAAACAATTTAATTTTTTTTTTCCAAAACACCACACAAGTAACAAGAGGGCCCTCAGCTTTAATGTTACAGGAAAACCATCTACCAAACTATCCAAAATTACTTTGTACCAAATTCCACATTGGATACATCCAAATCCCTATGTGAATGCCTCCGTCAGCACTACCTGAATGTAACAGGGACAGATTTTCAGACTTTTGCATGTCCACTTGTAGAAATATCACAAAATTAATTTTTGGCACTAAACTTCTTTACATTTACTAACCTGCTGCGTGACTTAACTCTTCAAATTACAGCAGCATTTCACAAAGTGCTGAGTTTCTGCAATTCCCACTACAGTGAGTATAAAACACAGATACTGAGTACTCCCCTGGGATTTAGCTCTGTCTTTCAAGGCTGTGATAACGGTGCTGTTTTTGCTGAAGAAATTAAGGTTTCAGATCTCTTAAGGTTTTTGTGGAATCTGGGATCCAAAAAACCCCAAACAAACCAGAAAATACACTACCAGAATCCTCTCATTCTTTCCATCCTTCTTTCCTTACATAAAGGTAGGTCCTCCTTTCTTTCTTTTCTTATCTAAGGGAGATCTATGGTCTCCTTGCTAACTCTTCAAGAAAAACAGAGGAGCAACAGGGAAATCTGTCTTCCATGGAAAAGATGAAAGATACAGCTAAGTGAGAGGATGTGTCCTTCCCGACACGGTGTGGTCAAAGAGACAGCTCCCCCTGACTTTTCCCAGAAGAGTTCACAGAAAAGTGTCCAGAAAAGTCCCTGTTCTCCCCAGTAGCTCTGTGAACAGCAGGATATGCTGCAGCACTCTGGGCTGCTGCTGCCGTGTCATTTCAGTGCCTCTGAGGTCAGCTGAGCGCGTTAAATTAACAGTGTTCCCAGGCAAAGCAAAACGTCTGGGAACAGGATGGCGCAGCATAATAATGGGAAACGAGCGGTAGATCCACACCTACATGCTAAAGGATGGGAAGGAGTGGGGGACACTGATGTGAATCTGACTTATGTGACTTAGTGCCAAATGTATGTTATCACACAGATCTCCCAGCAGATTATGTGTCTCTTCACCCCCACTTAACATTTTCATAGCTTATTTCAGTATTTTTGCCTTTGTTTCACCCATAATAATTTATTTATGAGTTTAGGATTATTAACAATTTGAGGCTTCATTATAAACCATCCTCAGGGAATCTCACCTGCCTCATCCCATTACAGTATTATTCCCTAATATGTAATTTATATTTAATAAGACATCAATTGAACATCAATAAAATAATAATGAATTAATAAAATATAGCTTCCTAGAAATACTAGTAGCTTAAGTATGTATGCAAAAGGCAGTGCACAGTCTGTGGGTCAGCTATCAAATCTCTCTGAGACTATTTCTCAGAACCATTTAGTATTTAGAATATGATAATAAGCCATAAAAATATTTAATTGCTATGGTCTTCAAATAGTTCTTGTGATAATTTTGACCCATACCAACCTGTGAACCTGAGCTGGGAAGTAACCAAGAGTTCCACATATGAAAGCCATCTTCAAACACTGTATTGCCTAAGGGGCTCCGTGTTTCCACAAACTGAAATGGCAAAAGAATTTTAGTTTGGGTAAATATTTTACTTTAACATGACCTCTTAAACTGAAATGTATTTTTCTACACAGAAAATCAAAATAAGTCTTTTTTTCTTTTCAAACTGACTTAAATATCTGCCTATGGACACTAACATAGCATAGTTCGACATTACTGGTCTGGTGTTCTGTTTTAACAAAATACCAACCCAAAGGACAAGCTTTGGCAAATGCTTCTATGCAGACAGAAATGGCATTATTTCACCCTGAGGAATTTCAGTAAAGGCTGTGCTCCTATCCCACCCTATCGCTCCACAGCAATGATTATCACTAATTAGTGATAAATTCCTCATGAGGGGAAGAAGAGGGGCAGGCACTGATCTCTTCTCTGTGGGGACCAGTGACAGGACCCAAGGGAATGGCCTGAAGTTGTGTCAGGGGAGGTTTAGGTTGAATGTTAGAAAAAGGTTTTTCACCCTCAGGGTGGCTGGGCACTGGAACAGGCTCCCCAGGGAAGTAGTCACAGCACCAAGGCTGACAGAGCTCAAGGAGTGTTTGGATGATACTCTCAGGCACAGATGTGACTCTTTGGGATGGTCCTGTGCAGGGCCAGGAGTTGGAGTCAGTGATCCTCGTGGGTCCCTTCCAACTCAGCATATTCTGTGATTCTGTGAATATTCACTGACTCTCTTTTCCTTTTCATCCATAACACATTTGTCTTTTTTTTAACTGCTCAGGTCCACTCTTTGGCTATCTGCATTACACAAAAGAGGATTATAAGGCCAACTGTCCTCGGGCATGCAACATATGTTCAAAATTACAATCCCATTTGAAACCTCAATGCCACTTGGGATGTTTACCAGTCCACTGAGAAGTGCTATTCAAATATAGAGAGGTTCCAGTTTAACATTTAAAATTTGTTAAGCTCTAAAAGGGCCATCAGACACTGTGGTCTGATCTCCTACAAGAGATTTTTACTCTGTTACTTCTATACCAGTCCCCACAACACCTATTTGATGAAAATACGTCTTCCTGAAATACTTCCAAATTTATTCTGTAAATGGAAAATCCATCGTCTCAGCGCTTTACACGAGCATCTATTACTCCACACTTAAAAGCATGACTTCTTCTCAACTGAACTTGTCAGGCTGTCACTCCCACCCACTGACTTGTAGTTCCCTCTACACAGTGCTTTGGCAGCCCATATTTTGGTCCCAGGAGGGTGCTGGTACACCACAACCTCCATGTGCTGGACTCATCAAAGGCACGAGCAATTCTAGCACTCAGAAAGACACAAGCAATTGCGTCCTTATGGTCACATCCTTGGCAAGTCTTTTTACCATGCAGGATTCATCAAAGCTCAGAATGGAGGATATGTCCTATGTTCTTCCTGAGCAGACCCAAATACATTTCATTTTGGGACACTCTCATAGGGAAATGATGACTAGTTTAACACAGAGAGCACCTTCCCACACCTCTGAGGGGTGGTTCTAATTTTTGGGCAAGCCGCTTACCAGAGTTTCCATTTCCTGCCATGCAACCACAGTCAAATTTTGAAAGAAAAATGCCACTCACCTCTCTTTTTAAAAAACTTCCACTATGGACCAGTTTCACTGCTCTCATTTAAACTACTCACTGACTTGAAGAGATCAAGTTGAAGAGATTCTTTTCATGAGTAAGAAACAATAAAGTCTTCTGTTTCTGGGTGTTCTTTGCAATGGATCCTGTAAAAATCAAGATAAATAATGTACACCAATTCACCTTTAGTGAGCACACAAACAGTCACCCAGAGTGACAGCTATCAGTTTGTCTCCAGTGAGAGCTGTATAACCTCTTCTGTAAACATGATGCTGAATAACGATCAGTCTCTTATTCCTTGTGTCTCTCTAGTGTGACAGACCCTTAATTATGGCTATTACATTAGTAATTGCTTCAGAGAAATCTACATGGCTAAAGCTGTGTTCTCCTCTGGACATCAAAGACAGTATCAAAACCCAGCTTAGGAAACTCCTCAGAAACATCTGCTGATGTTCAGCCCAACTAAGGAATGCTCTACTCTGTACAGAAAGCACATACCTTCAGCTCACTGTCTCCTACTCCTGGATGATAAGGCAGCCTGCAAAAATTGATACATCATTGCAAAGGGAAAGATTTACACCTGAAAGCACTGATAGAAAAGAAAACTCCACCTCTCATTAAGCTCTGAAAAACTACTAGAGATTTTGGTTATCTCACCCAGACCTCTAGATCCTGCAGAGTTCACCCATCTTTAATAAGTCCCTGACTGATGTATTTGCAACACAACAATGCAAAAGCAGTATTACAAATTATGGCTGTGTAACAGAAAATTGAACTAGAAACCACCCACTAAGGCACTGTAACACCAGCATCTGTCACTGCACCATAAGCAGAGCTGTAACATTTTAATTCTTTATGTGTAGCACTTATAAGCACCCTTCAGATATAAACATGCTTCTACAGTAAACTGTAGAAGGATCTCAATGCAAGTACCCCAGAGAGGGAACAACAGGGCAGAATCAAGATTCAGGTTTGCACCAAACAATAAATAATTCATAAACCCTTTACATGTAATTCTTACATAGCAGTTACTAGAAAATTAATGTAACTGCCTCTCAAGAGAATTGCTAGAAAACACTGTTATCTTCTGTAGGTATGTACATGTAAGCTAAAGCTCAATCTATATAAGAGGTGATGACACATCTTATGATGACTTATTTGGCTTCAACTTGTTTTGGAATATGTAGCGACCTATTGATAGACAACCTCTTACAACACTGTCTATGTGGAAAGTAATGCCTGGCAAATTATCCATTCTTAATAAAGCTCTGTGCTTCTAAGTATATTACTGTTGATGCTGCTCTTGATTTAGATTCAGCTAATTTTTGTCTAGGCTCAGCACTGTGCCTCATCCATGTTTCTCCAGCTCCCTCAGGATTTGGAAATACAAATTTCTACTTAATGAGCCTATTAAAAAATTAAGAAATGCATATGCAGCACTGCCCTTGTCTATCCATGAAAATAACACTGGTTCAGGATGCTAGAAAGGCATATATGTGTACTAAAAGCATAGATTCCAAGATGAACACTGTATTATCTACAAGCAAGTTATACTGTCCTAGAAGAACACTGTCAAGGTGTACTACCACACTCGAGTAAGCCTGTATGTGCCATGCAGGAAAAGAATATTCAGATGAACCACACCTGTAAAGGTAAGTTTCTTCAGAACTTCATAGCACTGTGGTGATGATACAAAAATCAGTAGATTTGAAACACCTATCTGCCTGTTCCATACCTGTACAATAATCATTATTTTAGATGATTCTAAAGGAGGACTGCATTTCCTGCAGAGTTCATGTCACACTCACTCATCAAGAGCTGCTGTAAGCAATTGTGATATACAAAGACATGTATAACCTTAGCAGCAGTAACATTTCTGTGTGAATGCTTCCCTTTCCAAATATCTTTTAACCAATACCACATCTGCTGCTCCATAAGCCACGATCCTCAGCTGTGGGAGCTTAGCAGCTTTCCACTCATTTAGTTATCTGTGGGGACTGCTAAAGACCAGGTCTCACGTAATTCTGAGTTCAAGAAAGTGTTCTGAAAAAGGACATTTAAACTATTTATGATCCTTGTAGCAGTTCAAATCCTGCATAGTATTTTTGATGAAGCTTTTTTACTCCAAAAATCCACAACCTAAATGAAGGTCTGATAAAACCCCTCTGATTTGCCACGAAAAATCGATCTTCTGCTGCCCAATTCCATTCTTAATGAAAGAGACAATTTAGAAACCTACAGGAACATGCTTTATTGATTCATTCACAAGTCACTAAAGCCTGTGCCTGTGTTCTCTTCAATAAGACTAACCACATAGTGCTTCTCATGCACTGAATTGCAGGAAAAGACAATGACCTCAGATCTGTTCTGCTGGAAGTCCAGTGAGACTAAACACGCCCAATAAATGTAAACACAGTGCACCACTAAGTTAATGATAAAGGTGTGTAGGAGACAAAGAGACTTATATTTCCTCTTTATTATCCCTTCATTTGAGCCTCTGCCTTCTTTGTAATCTATTTACCCAGGACAGTTGTGCCCAGATGCACACCTGTTTTTTCATGGAGGTGCTTGTTTTTCTCAATTTTGTGGATGGGTTAAACAAACCAGGAGGAGGCCAACCTACATGTGTGAGGTCACACAGTGAACTGTAATCTGAACTGCAGCAGATGCCTGAATTCATTCAGGTTCAAGACCTAATTTGGCATAAACCTGCAGTGTAGCTGCACTGCACTGTATCTTTTATAAATATGTCTTTCAATAATCTCCCACTCTTCTCATGAAAGCAATAAGAAGCAGTAAGAGTCAATACTGGGCAAGCTTTCCTATTTAATTCCACTAATGCATTTCAGCTGTGACCTGTGGTAATTTGGGCAATCTAGTACAGCTGAATGCCCCATAAGAATTTGGGATGATACACCGTCTACAAGCAAGATACAAGGAAGTACAAGAGAGCAGCTGGATACCAAGAATCATCTAGAAGTCAGAAAAAAAAATGAACTTAAAAAATAGAGATTAGAAAATACAGGAAAACACATTATCAAGAAAATATGTTTTAGACAGTCCTACAGGTACTTTCAAGTACCATCAATTCAACATTCATGTCCAATTCAAAACATTACATCTGCTTGTCCTGCTCAAGGAAATATGATACACTCAGATTTAGTATCAGCTTTTATGGTAACTACAGTTACTACAATTATTCCAGTAGAAATACCTCAAAGTATGGCATGATTTCAGGTTCACTCAGGTTTTGCCAGAAACCCAAAGTCTTCTTCCTTCTACCTTATGACAGAATAGATTTTAGGGAGTCCATTTTTCTTATATCACTCTAATATTCTTCTCCCTTTACATATGTTTTTGGTAAGTGTCCACAGACCCAGTCAATAACACTCTTCACTGCAAAACTTGTCTGTTCACTTCATGATTTAGTGGTTTTAGTACAATTCTATGTAGAGAATGGCTTCAGAAAGCAGCCTCTGCTCTCAGGTAGCTGTTACTTGGATAAATAAGGTAACAAGTAATTTAGTGGTGTATAGAGGAATTAAAATATTTTGTTATGCTCTTTAATATTTCCCCTAATTCTAAAATCGGACAAAACCCCAGCATAAAAATCACTTTTCCCTTAGAATTGTCTCTCAGCAGGGTAGTGTGCACAAGTTATCGCTTTGTGCCATACTGTATGTTCAAAGCCATCAGTACTCAATGTGCTAAGAAGTGACACTGAATCCCACAATCAGAAATAAAACCGAAAGTTTCAAAAAGATTTCAGAATTTAGATGCATATAAATAGCTGCTTTGAAGATGGAAAGCATTTTACAGATTTACATTTTGGTCTGGTTT